TGTTGTTTCTGTTGTTGCTATTGCTGCTGTTGTTGTTGATGCTTTTGCTGCTGCTGCTGCTGCTGTTGCTGTTGCTGTTGCTGCTGTTGTTGTTGATGCTTTTGCTGCTGCTGCTGCTTCTCGGTTCTTAAGTGTTGCCGCATATTGTCGTTGTCATGATTGTTTGGTGTTAATGTCGCAGGGTGTTGTTGCTTCTGTTTCTATTGTTGTTAGTCATGTTGCTGGTGTTATACATTGTTCTATCTTATTGCCTGTTTTAGACTCTACTGCTAATCCAGCTCTCTAGCAATTGCCTCATCTACATCGATAATTTTTGTATTTCGTTTTACAGGAGACAAACAAGAAAATGAGGTTCGAAAAAGACAAAGAAGTAAAAGAAGCAAAAGAGAAAGTCGAATCCAAGTCGAAACAAAAGATCGAGGAGAACAACAAGATGATCCAAATGCTACAGAAAAGGGTAAGAAAATCTAACGAATAATGATGGGGATGGAGGGCTGGAGGGCTGGGGCTTCAGAGGGAAGGATCATCAGCAAAAAGTTTGAACTTTTGTGGGGGGTCAAAAGTTTCCTGCGAATGTCCAGCCCCTTCTCTCCCCCCCCCCCCCCCCCCCCACCAATGAAAAATGTATCATCCCTTAGTAAGTATATCCCTCCTAGTGATTTAGCGAGTTGTCCTAGCGAAACTGGTCTAAAACATGCATTTTTAAACTATGTCTTATCAATGTTTCGTTGTTTTAGATCAAAGAACTGGAAGCGTCAGGAGTTCCTCATGGCGACGCCAAGGTGGACACTAGTGCTCCAAAGAGAAAGGTAAAAATGAAATTATCTCGTGAATGAATAAGATAACTGAATGGGAGACGTTTACACCCATTTTCGTAATTACCCGCGACTGTAACATTTCCTACGAACTCAGACCGTTGGAAATTTAATTGATGGAGCTGAAGCCAAACCAAGATTTCTCGAATTCTAAAGTTGTAAAATTAGGTTAAAATGTTCAATTTTATATTTTTAGGATTCCAGGGCGGTCGATCCCGAGAAGTTGGCGAAAGAGAAAGAGAAGCTGTTAGCACAGATCGACGCACTGAAAAAAGCTGCACAGGTTAGTAGGTCTTACGACGAGGGAGGGGAGGGGGGGGGGGATGGGAGGGGATTATTTGGGTTACCGTTAACGTGCGTTAGCGTGCAAGATGCCAAATAAAAACTTACTTACTTTTCTATTGGTTTGGCGTGGCCAGTATTTTTATTCCACATTTCTAATGGTTTCAAGATTTAAATCAAAAGTTACATCTTTAAGATGTAAAAAAGGTTTAAAGTTATCATACTTTATCATACATTGTGGAAAAAATCCACTTGCTAATTGAAAGAGTAACCTATGCCCCATCGCCACACAACCAAACTTCCGACATAACATTTATTAACATACAAGCTTCAATTCTATTCTAAGGTACTTACATGTTTCCTATCTGTAGGAGGATCATAAGAAGATCAAAGCCTTGGAGAAAGAAGCAAGAGATGCTGCTAAGAATGCTAAGCCGGCTGGACCCAGCGCTGAAGATGTAAGGAATACAAGATGTTATTTTTTACCTTTAGTCTTGAAATTTTGATTGCGTCAGGCATTTGGAATCAAGAGTGGTTATCTAGGTTTTTTAATATCAAAATTGGGTATCCAGGGTGGTCCTCAGATGTTACATGCCAGGGTTCGTGCTACTCCTTAAACTCCTTGAATTTAATTCACGTTTTCAAGGGCACTTTAAAAGCTCTTGAATTTTATGATTTTAGCGAAACTCCTTAAAAACTCCTTGAATTTTTGCTTTGATCATTACTTGCATGGTTCTGAAATAGATATAGTCAGAAAGATCGGAAAATCTGAAAGTCGTCCATGTGCAACCACCGTGTAAAACCTTGGCATAGTTAGCTGAACATAAAATTCATTTTTGGGTCCTTGTATACTCCTTGAATAGTAGTCCTTGAATTTTAAGTGGTTACCTCAGCACAAACCTGCATGCATGTGTTTTGGGAAGGGGAGGGTAGGGTGATTTGTTGAGGTAGATGAAGGGTGACTTCCTCTCCGACGAAGGGCTATCCACTCTTCAATTTCAAAGAGAGACTGCATATTTTGTTTAACCCTTAAGTGGCACAGGAAACAAAGGCAAACATATTAGAGTGCGTACCATCAATTCGTCAAAATCTTTGTAAGAAATTGCACAAATTTGCATAAATTAGTATTATATTAACTAAATGTTTCATTTGTCTGCAGAGAGCAGCAAGTAAGAAAATGGAAAAACAATTAAAAGGTTAGTAGTTAATTAAATGTACGCCCTGCTAGAAATACAACGAACACTGTAATCCATTGGATATATTTTTACTTAAAGGGGCACTTGGTCTGATGAAAACGCCCCAATTTTTGAAAGTCCGAATAATTGAAGTATTAGAGGATACTATGACTCAATTATGATTATGTAAACCAGATTAGTGAAAATTTTAGCCTGGGAGTCACTTGCAGTTGAGAAATTTTGGGTTAAAAGCAAAAAGAACAATAGGGTTTAGTAAATGACGTCATTTACTCCAAATTTAGATGCTGAAAAAAACTGACAATTTTTATCCGCTACATTTTACTGTGAAGAAAATATGTTGCTTGGCTACTATTGGGGCCATATAGATACGTTTAACTAAGTTTAAAGTCATTTCCAATCTTTATCCATTTTCATCCAAGTGCCCCTTTAAAAGCCTAGGGAACGAATACATTGAAAGGGCCCGTGAGGATCTGGGACCGAAACTCATGACGGCTGTGGAGGAGACTAATACATTGGAAAATTTGAAAATATATTTTTCTTATCAGATGCACAGAGGAATCTCGAGATGGAGAAAAAGAAATTCGAGAAAGTCAAAGAAACGCTAAGTAAAACAGAAGAAGAACTGAAAGACTTGAAAAAGGTAGAGAAAAGAAAACTATCTAAAAATAAAACTGACTAGAGGAGAGGAGTGTAGCGAAAAGAATAAAAACGAAGGGGAGGGGTGGGTAAACCGGCCATTGGCTCCCGTTATTATCATAATATTTATTAATTAAGGACGTTCATGGACAAAAAATCCCATTGTCAGATTTTAAAAACAAATTGCACGATGAAAGAGCATTATACAAGAAGTAGAATAAGCAAACTAAAAATGTGGGTCCCCGACTTCGTTTTAGAGCTATAAGAGATTAAATGCGTTTTTATGAGATTTTGGACATTGGAATATTGGAATGACGTCATCATGATGAGCGCGCGCTCACTAAATTCATGCGTGGAAAGGATGCGCGCGAACAATGCCCATGAACATCCTTAAGTTATGGTTTCACACTCTTTCTCTAGGAACATGATTCTCTTGTGGCTGAAAGCAAGAAAGATAAAGCAGACCTCGCTAAACTTGGTGTGGCAGCCGAGGTTCGTAGAATAAACTATATCTTTCCCACTAGACCTGACGAACACTGGGGCACCCTTGAGCCTGCGCCAGTCTTGGCCAATCAAAATGCTTGAAAGCACCCGACGTTTACTTAAAAGCTTGAATAGAAGTTTCAATAAAAAAATTTCAATATCGTATACTCTAACTCAAAAGCAATATTGACATTTTCTTTTCAGTTTTTTGTTTTTGTTTTTTTGTTTTGTTTTGTTTTGTTTTGTTTTGTTTTGTATTTTTGAAGTTTGTCCATGCTGCTGAGTTAACGTTTTTTCATTGTCAATCATTTAGGAAGGCCTGGCTGCCCAGGAGAAGGTTGATGAACTGACTAAAGAAGTGAAGACACTACGCGATGAGAACAAGTCGTTATCCGATAATTACAACAGCGAGAGGGTTAGTGTTCATACTTTTTGATGGAATAGGACTATGAATATACGAAATATCTCCTTTTCCCTATCAAAGTTATCATCGTCATCGTCATCATCATCATCATCCTAACCACAACGTACACTGTCATCAACATCGCCATCGTCATCATCATCATCATCATTATCATCATCGTCGATCTAACATCATCACTATCAACCAGTTGGCTCAGTTGGTTGACTATCGGACGTAAAAGAACCACTGAGGACGTAATGAAACCCTGGCAGTGACCACCCTCAGTGCCTACACTTCATACTAACCATCTCATGCTTGTAAAATGCATAAAGAGAGCAATCTGAAATTCACAACTGAATGTGAAGTGCCGATTGATAAATCATTAATCAACAAACATCATCATCGCCATTATCACCATATAATTACTGGAAAAAATCAACACTTATCTTAATTTTACTTACCACTTCACCTAGATTCTTCGTAAGAAATACTACAACATGGTGGAGGACATGAAGGGCAAGATTCGCGTCTACTGCAGGGCCAGACCACTCAGCAGTACTGAGAAAGGAAGAGTAAGTAAGGAAATCAATGTCAAGTATTCCTTCCAACGGGACAGTGAATTTTGCACTGCAAGGAAAAGATGTTACTTATTTATCAATTAGACAACAGAAAGTCGCGCGCCCATATAAAGAACGATTAACAAGCGTTAAGAGTGTCACGAGGCGTAGCCGATACCTAACCGAGTGCACTCTAGCTTGTTAATCGTCTTTATATTTTCTCGAGTGCGTCTATAACGCAATGGGCGAGTGACTTTCTGTTGTCTAATTGATTTATAATATAGCGAGATTCAAGAAAAGATGAACCGTGCAGCCCATGGGGAAATAGTTCATAGGTTTTCAACCAATCAGAGCGCGCGTAATAATCTAGTTATATTATAAGACGTAATATAAATAGCAATACCATGCGGCTTGTCTTGTTGTGATTGGCAGAGTAAATGATATTGCCTTAACGCGTGCTTCAAGTCTTTTCACTGCTCTACAAAATGCTCTAGACTCCCTGAACTCTCGGGAATTAAGAAAATTTATTAAGCTGTAGTTGTGTCCCTACTGTCCGCAGAATGGCGTATATTACTAAACCTTATCTCAATACTTCCGCCAGTTTCGAGTCCTCTGTTGCTCAGGAATACTCTCGATTTGATGTAGAATATAATATCCGTGTGTTCCAGTGAAGGTCCGTCGAGTTTCAAAGTGTTTGTATTGTTGAAGTTGTGCTTTCTTTACTTTGCCGTTGGTATTTGTGAATATTTAGACACGGATACGAGGCTAACCTGAGTAAATGAGTCTGTAGTCAATGAACGCAGCGGTGTTTGTACGAATTTGAGAATTCACCGTTTTCCATACATCGGTTCACTGGTCAAACAGGTCGAGGTTGCAAGGTTCAAATTTAAGTAATCATTTGAAAGTGCCTTGGCGCCTCGCTTGAGCGCTTTGTGATTGGTGAATGGAGTATTATTGATGATACCCGTCATTTCAGGGTAACCACTCGGTCATCAAATCTCCTGATGAATACTCCATCATTGTCAGTACCGCTAGAGGACCCAAGGACTTTAACTTTGATCAAGTCTTCACACCTGACCATGGACAAGAGAAAGTATTTGAAGATACTAATGTGAGTACTGATAGCAGTCGCATGTTCAGCAAATCGGCGGGAAAATGGCAGACGCGGATGGGTTGTTATCAATACACGTCATTTCCGGCTTTGTGTAGCATTTTTACCAGCTGTATGGGTAGTTAAGAAAAATTAGAAATTTCATCATCGGACAGTTAATTATCGCTAATCATCGTCTTCACATCATCCATCAGCAGCAGCAGTACCATCATCAAAATCATCAACACATGACATTTTATCATAACAGTGTATGTCATCGTTGTCATCGGCATCATAAATCATCATCATCACCCCGACAAATCATCATCATCATCAATGCGCATGTGTGGTCAGAAAATAATTTAAGCATACTTCGTAGTTATCTTCCTTTTAGCAATGAATCTATAGCGCAGCGCAACCGTGACGTCATAAAAACGAAGACAAAAAAGGCGAAATTTGGACAAACAAACTTACAAGTTTACTTTCAGCAGATAATTTTCACAGCCGATCGCAATTGATCTTAGTTTACATGGGTTGTTATTGTAACTTTAAGTAAAAATAATAAAGTCGGTTCGTATAATCTTCGTAGCGGTTAAACAGAATGCAATGTTTGTCCGAATCTTTAAGCTATTTTTAGAATCAGTGCGCTGCGCTATTGATGAATCTTCTTATAATGCTTATAATAATTCTCGTTCTTGTCGCAGAACCTAATCCAATCAGCCGTGGACGGATACAACGTGTGTATCTTCGCATACGGACAGACTGGCTCTGGAAAAACATATCCTTTCCATAAAAGAATACTAATCTTTTTAAATAACTTTGTAGATGGCATGGATAGAACTTTTTCACTGATATATGGTATGCACTCTAACACTCTAAGTTATTGATCTTAACATTATCTACGTTTACCATGATTGGAGATAAAGAAGGGAATTACCCTGGTATTGCTCCTCGTGCTATGGAAGCTATCTACCGACTCTTGGAAGAAAACAAGTATGTGGGGCTTATTTGATTTAAAATGGGTTTTGCTCCGAACCAATCAGAAAGCGAGGAATTGCAAATTCTCCTAACACGGAATGAAAGCCATTTGAGAGGAACGATCCTACGTTTCCTAGCCATTTCAGATCTGTTTTTAAGTACGAAATCTTTGCGCCTAGTTTCAAATAGCTTTGATCATAAAAAGAGTGCAAAAACGCATTCCAATCTAAGACATTGGCGGATCTAACGATTTCAAGTGAGGTGGTCGTCACCTAGAGAGGCATCGCATAGCGCCCTTTTTAGGTTTTACCTCAACCTTTATTGTTAATATTTTTTCAACGCCCAGAGGGGGAACGCCTGTATCCGTCCTTGTTATTAAAGAGGCGCTGATTTCGTGTTATCTTGTTTTTACTGTTGGTGTTTGACTCGCACGTATAACCATTGCAAAATGTTACCGGCTTATTTCGCAGGAAAAAATTCTCATTTAAAGTTTATACATATATGCTGGAGTTATACAACGATAAACTGATTGATCTACTTGCTCCTGCAAACAAAGAGGTAAGAATGTCTTGATTTACAGTTACCCCTGATCTAGACCATAATATCACAGATAGCCCATACGCACCTAGACCATAATATCACAGATAGCCCAATACGCAATGATCCGCACCTAGACCGTAATATCACAGGCAGCTCATTCGCACCGATCCGCACCTAGACCATAATATCACAGATAGCCCAATGCGCACTTAGACCATAATATCACAGATAGCCTATGAGCACCGAACCGCACCTAGACCATAATATCACATAAGAGACACATCATTATACACTGATGCGCGACTAGACCATTGCAACGCTATTGAATGGTGGTCAAAATTGGCGCACAAGGAAAACTTTGTTGTTTTAGTTGACTAAACCCGTATGACGTTTTGGTTTTCAGCCCGCCAAGCTTGACATCAAGAAAGATAAAAAGGTAATTAACTTCTCAAGTACCTTAATTTTGCTTTGATACGATTTTTTCTTATTTATTCCCGTTTGCTGTTTTTCTTTTAACGCTCATTCAGTCATTTAAACTTTTTTCAAGTTATCTTACCTTCGACATCAACAACAACAACAAAAACTACAACTAAAATGCCTCAAATCAACAGAAAATAGTGGGAACAAGTGTCATATTTTGTGTATTCCCCTGTCAGCCTAGTTTTCGTAGTGTCTCTTGTAAGCACAGGGTCAAAACTGACAACTTTTTCTGCCCCTGTAGGGATTGGTTTTTGTCAACGGTTCCGTCTTGTTAGAAGCAGCAACAAGAGAAGAGTTGTGGGCGATCTTTGAGAGAGGTTCTGAGAATCGTCACGTGTCTTCCACAAGTAAGCCACGAAAAATAAATCTCAGTTTTATCTCATAACCCTGGTGATGATCAAGATTTTCGATCATCACACAGGGCTTGATTGGCCAAATGGCCCACTTCGCTTGTCACGCACAAAGGTTTCAGTAGTCCCCTTCACAGATCCCTGCGTCATCTTGAAAGGTAGCCGTGCCTTTGCATCGAAGCAAGATGAACGGTGAGCTTGCAATGATAGAGACCTTTTTTAACACCTTGGACAATTATTCACATGTCTCTATCATTGCAAGGTCACTGTTTGTCTCGCTTCGATGCAAAGGCATGGCTACCTTTCAAGATGGCGCAGGGATCTGTGAAGGGGACTATTCAAGGCTTCGTGAATAATGCTCATTGAAAGGAGAAAAGAATAAATTTAGTTTTGCACGTAGACTCGTACTGAAACCTTTGTGTATGACAAGCGAAGCATATCTTGGAAGTAGCCTGCGTAGCCAGGCGTTCCTTGTGTTTTTTTTTTGGGGGGGGGACTTAAGGAACGCCTGGCTACGCAGGCTGTCTTGGAAGTGGACTACTTGTTTTAGCTTGGTCATACCTCGTTTCTGGCTCAACGTTACTGGTTAAAATGACCGGCAAGGCAAAGATTTGTCCGGACAAGTCCCAATTCTGAGCGGATATTTCCCGATGTCCGGCTATTATTTTAAGCTCTGTCACAATGTGCCGTATTTTTCTCTTTTTTACAGAGATGAATGCAGAGAGTTCACGATCACATTTGATCCTGGGAATAGTGATAGAGAGTACCAACTTGACGTCAGGCGCCGTCGTCAAGGGAAAGGTTCGTTGCTATGGAAACAAATCACTAAGTATATCCCATGCAATGGCGTACCTCTCGATAATTGGGAATGAATAAACGAAAATAGAATATACAAATATAGTTAAAACACCGATTGTCTTCGACCCCAACGTTGCCAGAATTTTTCACGGTCATTATGACATGCGCAATCCCGACTAATGTATATCTATCCATTCCACAGCTCAGTCTTGTCGATTTAGCTGGATCTGAACGTGCAGCCAAGACTGAGGCATCAGCTGAGCAGCTTAAGGTTAGAAGATACACCACTTTGAGACACGTTTCACTTTAGTGTTTTCCGCAAATCATCAATCTATTCTATTAACCTGCGATTTTCCTGGTCAGCGCCCTTTTCTCGTTGCTGACTAAAAGAAGCGCAGGCTCAAGGACAAGCTATATAAACAACTCTCAAGATTTGCGTCTTAAACTCTAGGGAGAAAAATCTTTAAATATTTTCTATGCTTTCCACAGGAAGCCCAATCGATTAATAAGAGTCTTAGCGCCCTTGGTGACGTCATCTCAGCTCTGTCCAGTGATCAATCATTCATTCCATATCGTAATAACAAACTCACACTACTTATGCAGGACTCTCTTGGTAAGCCAGCCGCAATGCTAATGATATGAAAACATTCTCTCAGTTTAAAAAAGCAATATAACAACTGAGCGAAATCCAAATTTAGCGCACCACTTTGCATAGATATAATTTTCCTTCAAGTCGTATGACAATTCTATATGAAATAAAGAATATTGACGTCAATAGACGCCGGAATATTTTTCCATTTCAGACCACGTGTTATTCTTTGGAGAATAAAATACTTTGTTTGAATTGTATTCATATTTATATGTTTTCTCCTGCACAACCGTTAAACAAAGAAATTATAACTCTAGCGAATGACACGTAGTGAGTAATTGGGAAAACGTTGTGCCAAGGTAAGAAGGTAAAGAGGTCTATTACCTTTGAGTATAGAGTATAAGAAAAGCTTCATGTAGCACTTGAAGTCAACCAAAGAGAACTGCTGTAGTACTGATGTTATTCCTGGGTTGTTTTCTAAGGTGGTAACGCAAAGACACTTATGTTCGTGAACATCTCTCCTGCTGACTACAACACAGACGAAACCATTACCTCACTCACGTAAGTATTCGGAGTTATTCCGAACAAGAGCGTTAGAGATGGAAATGTACACATTTGGGAATGCAAATAAGCAAAAACTACATGTACTGCATCGATCATCTGTATTGTCAAATTATCTAAATTGTGTATCTATGAAAAAAGGTGTCATCGTGTTTATTTTTCATTGTTAGCTCTGTGCACTTGTCTTCTGTTCTACCTTACATGCAAATGTAGTAGAGCTAATTACTATGACAATGCAGATGATTATTGATGCATGCAGGGCGTGTTGTTTTTGCTCATTTGCATCCCCTATAAGGTCCAAAGGCAGTAGCGTAGCGAGGGGTGGGGGCACGTGCCCCACCAAAATTTTCGAAAAAAAAAATTTTGAAAAAAGAATAACAACAAAAAAAACATATTTAACCGAAACGAAAGAGGAAAATAAATTATTACAACCTACAAAAGTGCGAATTTATACGAAGTTATCCGGACGGGCTACCTGTGCACTGCGAGCCCGATCAGAGCCTGGAATCTGCACGTGTGAATTTGAAATTTTTTCTTATTTTGGATCAGTGCCCCCCCAGCTCCTAGGTCCTCGCTACGCCCCTGTCCAAAGGTGTACATTTCACTACTTTTCATTCAATGGTTCACTGGTCAGACACAAAGGCACTTTAAAGCTCTTAGCACTAAAGATCAAATGTGAATTTTCTTTTTTTCCTTTTCTTTTCTTTCTAGGTACGCCTCTCGTGTTAAACTTATCACTAACGACGCACAGAAGAACTCCGACAACAAGGAGATCGCTAGACTGAAAGGAGTAAGTTTACATTTTATTTTTGTTGGTACAGAGAAACCCTGTTATGGTTTCTTACTGCTATGAAAAATATTTATGATGAAGCCTGGTTGTCATAAGTTAAGAATCGGTTACGAGAAAGGGAAAGAAAGCAAGAAGGAAAAGAAAGAAGGAAGGAAGAAAGGAAGGACGAAAAAAATGAAATGAAATGAAAGAGAAGGCACAAAACCAAGTGGTTATGAACAAAGCAGCGAACTTAATTGGCAAAGTATTGATACCATGCACCATTATTTTCCTTTACAGATTATTTCAAAACTCAAGAAGGGCGAATCTATTGACGAAGATGTTGAATAAAATCCAAATGTTGCTGAATCAATATCATAAAATCGTATCATAAAATCAACATCATAAGTTAGATGTCATGGGTATCAATAATAGAAAAATCATCAAAATAGTCATCATCTTCATCGTCACATTATCGTTTTCATTTTCATCATCCAATATTCCGGCCCAACAGTATTATCATCATTATCACATGTAGTAAAATTTGGCAGTTAGCAAGATGACGCAGCCTCAAGAGAGGCAAGGACGTTCGTTTTTCGTGCGTGGCATGTCTCCTAGGAGCAGGCGTAGCTCAGTTGGTTAGTGCGCGACCTTCAGAGCTTGAGGTCCACGGTTCGATCCTTAGGATCTCCACGTCTGTTTCGACTTCTCTCTAATCCGTGTAGCTTCAGCTTTAAATACTCTTAAAACAGAGCACTGATGGTGAGAGGAGGTAAAGTGCGCACCGTCGGCTTCCATTGATAGCAGTTGGATTTCAACTGAAGAAACTACCGACGTTAAATATAGGTGCTTTACCTTTACCTTTTTACCTTTAAGGTTGGCATACGTTCTGTTAATACGTGAAAAAGCTACTGAGCTGTATTAACAAAGACAAACTTCACAACAGCAACAACAAAAAAATCAAGTCAAAATACTCTTCAGTGGATAAACCGCATACGCAAAATTTTGCAAATCGACACGATACAACTGATCAAAAGTAGATAATCTATTTTTATATCATTGCCAATTATTGTTTTATTTGATTTTGATATTTATTGTTATTTGTAAATAAGTCCATTAGTGACTCCAACAGTCGAACTGTAGATTATTCCGTCACCGATTTGTACAAAGATCCCCTTGGGTAGGAAAGAACCAAAGTAGCTAGACCTTCTTATTGATAATAAAAAAATAATAAATTATTGATTAACGAAGTTGATTCAATAAAATATTGACTTCAGTATTATTTCTTTTCCAATATTTTTTCCCATTTTTTCTCCATTGAACTGGTTTTAAAAGGAATTGATACTTTGAAGGTAAAATGGCGTGTTATGTAAATTGACTCCCGTCTTCATCCGCGTGCATGACGTCATCAGTTCTTATTCGATTAACAACAGCATAAATATAAGTGATTTTTTTTCCACGGACATGAAAAAAAATTCGTCATCTTGAACTTGAAAATCCCCCTCCCCCTCCTTTTATTTACCGAGAATTCTATGTTTTTAAATGACGGTAGCGTTAGGTCATCATCCAAGTCATTTTGAGCCAAAAACCGTGACTCCGGCTTTCGTCCTTTGGTCGTGACGTCATTACCTGTGATATTCAACTCCATTTTTTTTGTTTTTTACTCCATATGAGAATGGGTATCGATGATAAGTCAACCTATCGGATATCTAACATTGTTGCTTAGCCGGTTACCAGCGGATCTCAACAATGACAAGCATTTGGGTTGGTCCCTAGACCAATATGATACAATATAATATCTATCATTTTGGAAAGTGTCTGTGACTTCGAACATAATCTGTGCGCGATTTCCCAACCAAAACTTCTCATTCAAACTAGGTTTTGATGCAAAAACACGTTATTGAAAGGATATACAGTTATAGGATTTCTATTTGCTTTGAGTACAAAAACAGCTATTTCGTCGAGTAGTTCCCCCTTATTATAACAGGGCTTTTAGCACCCTATATAAAGGACAGATATGATGACCGCAATAGTTTGAACGTCACGCAACCGTATTAAAAATGCGTTCAAAAATGACACAATTCACAGGCTAAACTGTAACTACCGAAATTAGTGTGGAAAAAACTCCTGCTTGAGACGATAGTAATTATCTTAATCGAATTTGGTCAGAAAATGAATTTAAGTTACTAAAAATATCTCTCTTGTGTTACGTGACCAGTGACGCGCACATTCCATGCATAACTAAAAAGCGGGCTTTGTTTTCCATATTTGGCAAGGCACGCAGGCTCATCAAAGATTTGGGCGTGAAGAACAGATCACTTAGCTGCTGGTTGTGCTTGACTTACAACTTCGAAGGAGACTTCTGCCGTTTCGTTTGCTTCGATCTCTAGGCTTATCATCATTAAACAAAATGGAAACCATTAAGAAGAAGATGGCCACTCTCCGGCAAACGCTGGAAGAAGCCGAATGCAGGGCCTCAGCAGCAGAAGACGAACTGAAGAGAGCCAACGATAGAGCAGACCAGGTACTGTCTTAGTTCACGCTCTAGACTTGAAACCTGCTGCTGTATTTGAACTCTAAATAACATCTAACTGCCATTTTATTGTATGCTGAATCTCAATGCAACATTTCTCAGTGCTTATGTTTAGCCGAATTCAAGATCGGAATCAATTTTGGTGAAAATTTCGCTTACTTTGGAATCTGGCGTGCGAGTTTTAGGGCGACTGGTTCTCTTTGTCAACACCTTTATACTCTCATTTAGATTCCTTTGGATCTGTTAGTCATTGAATTTTCAATTCTAGGCTGAAGAAGATGTCGCTTCCCAGACCAAGCAGCTTCAACAGCTTGAAGACGATTTGGATGCGGCTGAGTCAAAGCTCGCAGACACTCAACAACAACTAATAGAAGCTGAGAAGCAGGCAGATGAGAGTGAACGGTGAGTAAGGCTAAGGAAAAAAAGGATTGGCGAGTCATTCAAGATTACACAAACTACCAAATTACAGCTTACTGTATAAAGCTTTCTTGATGCCCGGAATTGTATTGTAATCTAAACTTGTCTAGCTCCCAAGCAAAACATTTCTACCCATGCATCTTAAAATTTGGCCTGTTTCATGTACTAGTGTGTTTTGTTTATGGTATCTTGTTCTCGTCTACAAATATGCAAAGTTATGTCTTCAAAATGCTCAAGATTCCGACTGTATAATCGGAAATAATTCAACTTTTTTAAAAACTTATAAACCTTATACAGTGTAGAATACTCGAGAAAGAATCAATTATTTTTAATTATGCTGTAAAATGATATTTATTTTAAAGTCTTCATACATAAGTATTAGGATTATGTTCTTATATATATCTCCACGTTATAGCTGTTCTTGCTGAAATTCCTCGACCGTTTTTCAAAATACATTAGTATATAGAATTTAAACGACTGTTTTAGGTTTAAGAAAGAGTTTTTATTCATTACTTTTGATGGTTTTGCAGAGGTTAATGTTGTTTTGCTAATTAGTCGCTCTCGGATTGTGAAACCTTAATTTATTTTCTCAGCTAGCTGTTGTTCTTTTACAGTGAAAATTACACAAAGGTTAATCTTGTTTTAGAAAAGCATGCATATATATACAATGAAGTCGAGAGCGTTGGGCATTTTCATTTTGTTTGTTGTTATGACCACCACTGCATTTTTATGTATTTCTTTGAGGGTTGATAATGACATTTAGCTTGCTACATTTGGACTTGAAAAAAACAGTTAGCAGAATTTAGATAAGAATTAAGATAATTTTCCAAAATAATATGCACAATACGTATAGATCAAATGATAGATTCCATGAAGTCTACTAATATAATAATTATTCCTACTGAAATGTAGTCTTTCATTCTTTTTTTTTTTTCCCCTAAAGGCTAGACTGCAACATCCAATTTAATTAATGTATTTCTCAATGATTATATATAAATGTAAATATGTTTATGTAAATATTTAGCAATTGAAAGATTTTCATGGTTTTTGTGATGCAGTATATAGTATTTAGGAAGCATGGAAAAATAGATGCAATGTAATTTGATATCCTAGTAATAGGTATTTAATTGGAACATTGCTAAAAAAATTCCAAAAATTTGCCTCACATTAAAGTGGATTTACTGTCTCTATGCTAGATGCATATTGGTGTACGTATTTGTTCATACAATTGAGTGTGGAATATATATTTTTTCTTTCCAGAGCAAGGAAAGTCTTGGAAAACAGAGGTCAAACTGATGAGGAGAGGGTAAGGTTTAACAATTTCAACCATTATTCTTGTGTTCTGTTTTAAGAATACATATATACTGTTTCTTTTGTATGCTTACCAACAGAACAATTATTTTATGCATTGTTACCTTATAAAGTGATATTTAAAGATTTCAAGCTCTCTAAAATAACCTAAGGGCAGTAAATTGTTTGTGCAGAGATAGATATCCCACTGGGTAGGTTTAGTTGTCAGGATCAGGTTAAGTTACTCTCATAACAATAAGATAACATAACAAATACCAATTATTAATGGTACTTGAGTAGACTTTGAAGGTTTACACAGCGTAAATTGACCCTATCCTTTAATTTGGAGTCGGTCAAATTTACAACTAGTGTCCTTTTTGTTAATAGTAGCTGAAGATCAAGGGGAATAGTACTCAAGGATATTTATTCAAATGTCAAAGCTGTTTTTCAAAGCATAGGCAAATTTGATTATTTTAACACTGGCATTTTGAGACAGCGTGTTAAAAAAATAAAATAAACAAAAACAAAGGAAAGTACCCATGAAAAAGGCTTTTAAATTTTATCAAAATCGACCACTGGGCTGACAGAAACTCAGGGCACAGCTAACTCACAGATGGAATTGGAATTTAGCATTTAAGATTTTTTCTCAAACCAAGGAAAAGAGCTATGAAACTCTACTCATGTGTAGTGCCTAGTCTGGGATTTGAACCCAAGAGAGGAGGTGAGGGGCGAATGAACTGTACCACTATACCTAGGATTGGCAATGGATTTTTCTCGCTTTTTAACATGTGTTTTTGACTCCTTTAGTTGGCATCTTTGGAAAGACAATACAATGATGCTTGTACAAGAGCTGATGAAGCAGAAAAGCAATACGAGGAGGTGGGTGTTCTTTGTACAAGCATTTGTAATATTCATAAAAAAATCAACTATTTCTAAACATAAAGGCATTTCAAATTTTAATGTGTGGTAAGTGCTTTCAGCGTCACTCATAAAGCACTTTCAAATGATGTCACAGCCACCATGTCATGATCAGGGCTTTGTTAATAAGCCATATAATAAGGGATTGCCCTAATCTGTTAAGAATGTTCAAATGCGACCGTTATTACTTTTTTTATAATTGTGTATTCATCATAGATTTCAGAAAGACTCCAAGAACTTGAGAACGAGCTTGAAGAGGCAGAGGCCAGAGCTGACACAGCAGAGGAGTAAGTGAGATTCAAAGTAACTAGAACTGTAGAAGCCACTATAGGCAGATAAGTTTGAGCTGCAAGTTTTGATGGTTGCACAGTAAGACACTTATGGTGACTCCTGCATTCACGATCGTTATGATCAGCACGTGTAGAATCATTGTCATCATGATGTAGGTTTTGGTGGATGCCAATCAAGGGGTATTACCATGACATTCCATATGCATGTTCCCTTGAAAATTTTATATTTTCTGACAGTACAATGGCGACACTTAACTTGATATACACCTAAACCCTTATTTTATCATGAAGGCAAATGTGTGATGGCAATCGTATGATTGACAATCTAAAAAATTTAAATGGCTCTGATGTTTTCCAGGCGTGTAAAACAACTAGAGGAAGAAGTTACCCTCGTTGGCAACAACCTTCGAAGCTTAGAGATCAGCGAGGGCAAGGCAACTGAACGTGAAGATACCTACGAAAACCAAATCAAAACTCTCGAAGCTCAGCTTGAAGAGGTAAGTTTTTGTTGCAAAGCTGTAAAAATGTGCTGTTTTTTTGCATTTTTACTACAAGTCCTAATAATTGGATCATTCATTTGTTCCTTAGGCTGAAGAACGAGCAGAAAAAGCCGAACAAAAGGTCAGGGACCTTGAAAGTCAAGTCGATGCTATGGAAGGTGAGTATTTAATGAGTTATGGAATGGATTGATCACAAGTGTAGAGGGGCCGATAATTTTGAGCATGGCTAGATGACAGATTAAATTGGGATTTAGAGTGTTTATGGGGGAAGGAAAACAGGAGGAAAATCCTTGAATCAAGGGAGAGACCTAACAAAGTGTACTCACATGTGATGTGGAATCTGCAAATTGAACACGAGACCCCAAAGGTGAGAGGGAAATGGATTACTGCTGGGCCACCCTTGATTCCTAACTTTTGTTTAAATATTTTTGCAGCTGAACTCGAGAATGCCAAGCTAGAGTACGAGAAGGTCAAGGAAGAGTTGGAGACAACTCTGAACGAATTAAACGAGATGTAATTTCAATAATTAGCAGAGCAATACTCAAGGATGGCCATCTAACTCTAGACTAATTTACTCCTAGAATAATTATTTGCCCCCAACTTCTGTCATTCTCTGATGATATTTCCAAAAGTTTTGCTCGAAATTTGTTTTCCTTGATGATCTGGAAGCAATGTCGCACAATACTGAGACGTTTTAAGTGACCTCGTTAGGTATATTTCTAAGTTAATTCAAATCTAGACACTAAGATTCTTTATGTATATCCATTCCATTGAATAATAAAGATTTTTGTTTTCAAATATTGATAAACATTGGTGTTTTTGTGAGTATTATTTTGATTATTGGTAGGTCAGTTGAAGAGCAGCATATGGAAGCAATGGTTGGAATACAGTAAAATACTCTAAAATAAATAAATAAATTAACTTTGTTTATAGAGGATAACACTTGACAGTAATTCAACTGATAAATTCGTGGTCCTCTTTTAACGTCTCTAGTTAATTAGGGACGGGACCGCCATTAACGTGATCATCCGAGCCACGTGAAGGTCTAACCATTTGCAGATGTAATGACAAAGCCAGCACCTTCTCAGTTATTTTAAGACCTCGAGTGTTGGTCCGGCCAAGGCTTGAACCACAACCTCTCGCACAACAGACCAACGCTCTTACCAACTGGGCTAACCGGGTGGTGGTTAAATGGCCAATGGGTGTAATTCACCACAAATCACGCTATAAAACCTGTGTTTATTTCAAAGTTTATTTCTAGGATTGAAGGTCTTAGACCAGTTTTTGTATGACTGAAAAGCTCAATGTGTTAAGCATGCCATGCAGTGACCACGGTGTTTTCTAAAATTTCAATTAGCTGATTGGTAGGTCAGTTCAGATCGGTGGATCTCCGGATCCCAAATTTAGTCTAGATTACCGAATCATTGATTCAGAGTTAAATTATAAAACAAATTTGGTAGATCCTGCAAAAGCAGAAAATTTATCTATTGTTTGGTCTGGATTTTGGTTTTTGCTTGTTATAAAGTTCACTTTGCAGACCTAAATCCTCTTCATGAGTGTGTTATGTTCGATTTTGTTGGCCAAGACAAAAACAAATTATTTGCAGAATCATATTTGAGCATTTTTTTCGGCAGCAGGTAAATTGGATCTACGGATTTGCATGTCACAATAATTTACGCATTTTATTAATGGATAATCAAACTATCTTACAAAACCTTACATTCATGTTAAATGTACTAGGCTATTATAGTAAACGTTTGCAGTGACAAACCTGAAGGCATGTACTATCAAATTGCAGTGGAGCAAGACGAAGACAAATAGTAGGCCAAAAGCATATATCTGCTAAATGCTATTACTATAATACTATTTACTATTATCATAGACTTGAATATAGAATTTTGTGCACTGTGATAGGTCAAGCAACCTGTGATTATGAGACAATATTCACTGCTCAAGTAGTGATTATAAGGTGTCCCAAAGATTGCCAGAGCTAAAACATTTTTCATCCGGAATTTCATCTTTTATCTGATATTCATAGACTGATTCCACAAGTCATAGTTTTCGCTCCTTTGACAGGACAGCGAAAACATCCAATTAAAGAATCAGTCTATGACATTCAAGTCTAAAATTATGCCAAAACAATTATTATTCACCTTAGGCTATGTGAATATGGGGAATATTTACCTTGCAGCTCCAAGACTCATAGCTTCCTAAATATTATGTACTTATTAACTGAGTGGCAGGGCCGTAGGGGAAAATATTTGGCTTGAGGTGATGCCGTATGGACCGAGTGCAGCGAGGTCTGTACAAATGGCCGAGAGCCAAATATTTTCCCATACTGCCCGACCTTACTCAGTCAATAAGCATTTTATCATATGACCCTAAATAAAAAAGATATTTTAAAAGTTGCAAATTATGTCAATACTCGTAGGTTTTGAGCAGGGCCGTAAGGATTCATACAGCCCTGCTCACGGCATTTTCCCGAAGGTTTTCCTAAGAGCGCGCGCCCGGATAGATATGGGTCATATGATAATCCCTCTTATTCACTTTGCCTTAGTTTATAATTGTTAAGTACTAACTATTTCATACTCCAAAAAATTTCAACCCCCTATTTTTTCAGATTCTTGTAGTTTTTTAGTGTCAAAAATTTAGCTTGGCTTCAGTTTCTTTTAATGCTTGCTGGCCAATGTGCACTAAGATATTGTATAACTTTTGGTCACTAAAGATGTTGGATTTGAAACTTAGATGCGCCCTGGCATTTTTTCAACTTCTTTACTCCATACTTTCTTGCTTTTCTCTAATAGCTGCCTGAAAATATGAAAATCGACTAGATTATTAACAGATCAAAGATATGGCGAGCCTAACCCTTTGGGCCTAATAAAATAGCCTAATATATTTTTTATTAGAGTGCATACCATATATCATAAAAAAACTTTTCTTAAGAAAATGAACAAATTTGCACGAATAGGTAAGTTCAGTAGACCTCAGTATACTGTAGACCTACAAAACTTTCCACTAATTTGTACAATTTTGTAGTTAACTTTTTCACTCTATAATATAGATATAGTTTAGATAGTGAATGTAGTGGCAGTGCATGTGGAGTAAACCTCATGGAAGAGCTCCTTATGGAGTGATGGTTTTAAAATATAAATATACATATAATGTATAACAGAGCATTCTCAACATTATTTACCTTAAATCTTTCTTCTAGCAATGAGACTTCACTGATCATATCTGTTATAGCATTAGTGAACGCCTCTTGTGGGCTGTAGTCAGGTGTTGTCTGTACTCTTAGTACAAACTTGTGCTCAAGTGGATGAGGAACTTTGTACCCCGCGAATATTACTTGTGGGTCTCTTAACAGTTGTCTGAAAAAGACGAGACACTTCATTTGAGCTTTATACTATCAGTAAAGAGTCATAATTGACAAGCATTAAATTTCATTTACTTACGCTCTCAATGCATTGCCTAACGTATGATCTTCCTTGTTCACGACAAAGTGTGCTGCATTAGGTACTTTAGTATCTTTAGTTATAGTAATTCTAAAAAGAACGAAAGAAACATACGATGGTGTTGCTCATGTCGACATGTTTAACCACGAACTTACACACATTTATTGGACTCTAATAACTATGAACTTACTTTTTATCGCCAGCTAGGAGTAGAAAAGGCTCAAATGGTTCCGGGGCATTCATAGTTTTCTAGTCTCAGTTATTATAAAGTCGAAATTTGGGACGAAAAAGAAGAGACAGTTTTAAAATTCAGAACACTTCGCCATGTTTATTGAATGCGCACATGCGCACTGATATGATAGTGAGGAACTAGGTTACCCACAATGCTTTTTAACCTTACACTTTTTTAGAAAAATTATCTTGGTTGATTTTTATGAATGAAATAGTTTTAAAAATGTATTAAGAAGCTAAAATTAATAGAAAAGCCTTCAAATTCACTGCAAATCCTATGGGACAGGAAATTAGTAGCCTTCAATTTCACTGCAAATAAATTAATAGATTGGGCTACCTGTGGTAACCAACTCTCACCTGGTACTTGTAAATTTAGAAAAAACAATTAATGCTGCTTTTAATAACTAATATCATTGGAAAAAAGGTAAGTCAGGAAATTCAATAAAAATACTCAAAGTCTTAAGAAAAAGATGCTTAAAATTACAAAAAAAAATAATATAAAAATTTAAATTGATTGGGCTATCTGTGGTGTTGGAGGGGAAGTTTCCTATCCCATGATGCAGTGCGGGTAATAGTTCTTCCCGCCAATTTTGAAGAAGCGAGGAGGACAGAACTAGACAATCAAGCAAGACAATCTAAATTTAAAGCCAAATTTCACCTCTTTTCCTGCATCGATTCTCATCATTTCACCGCTTAAAGCAAAATTAATGTTTTAAAGGGTGGTTGAGAACCTTAAAATCATGAGAGGGCCAGAGGAGGTGAAGAATGCTGAAGCTGATAGCTCGTCTTCTCGTGAAGGTTCGCTGTGTTTTGTGTTCTTCAAGCGGGGAACGGGTTTTCTTCCTTTCTATGTCAATACACCTATTAATTCTTCTTTTTTTACATCAAGGAGGAAGCGAAGGGAATGAAGGAAGGGATCCTTGCTCTAGCCCTCCCTGTAAAAGACTAAAACAAGGTATCCTATAAAGTACAAATTTGCAAACATATTTTTAGCGCGAACAATTGTATTCAATCGATCATTGCATTATCTCTCTTATAGTTCTGCGATATTTCTAAAATTTATGCCTCGATCGCTTTATATTCGATTCTAAATTAATTCCTTTTTAATTAGTCGTGTTTTGATGTTTTAGCTGTTTTGAATTTTGAATCCAACACGGCAACAAGCAATGGTATTCCTCCTCCCTCTTCGCCTTCACTTCCAAAACTCTCCAATGGAGTCCCAACAGAAGTCATTGTCATTGATGATGAAAATAGAGCTCCAAACTTCGGAGGTCTTGTGACTGCTGCACCATCCCCACCTGACAAAGGACAAGTTAAGCCACAATCTTCAGATGTGGAGTCTAGCACTACTAAGGATCAAAAGGAGGACGAAAAACAACTTAATATTTCTAATTTCACAGTACCCATTGATAAGCTCAATGATTCCCATGAATCTGATAATCAAGAAATTCCTTGCTCCCCCACACAAACAAGTCCTAATGTAAGTGATTTTTGATGCTTTTGATTTTTCAGTGACCAGGAAATTTTGGATGTTGTGAGGCCATGTCAACACTAATCTGGATGATTTTGAAAACGTTTTTTTTTTTGCACTAAAAAAGGCATAAAAAGTTTTCCCTCCACACTAAAATGGTGGGATCGTTTCAGCTATTCTTACTGAAATGCTTTTTCGGTACAGGAAATGCTAATTACACCATCAAACATGAACAGATTCCTTCTCTAAATATCTAAAGCCCCACAGACAATTTTCTTTTAGTCTGCAATCCTCTCTAAACCTGTCGGCATTCTTTTGATAATTTTCTTTACACAAATCATCAAAGGATCTCGACACATGGAGTCGTAGAGGTTTGAAGGCATGACCGCAGTAAAAAGCCAGTTCAGTGACATCAGTAGTATACTCCCAGATTAACCTGAACAGTTGGGTGGTGCCTACCTAGGAAATGATGAGATATTTAATCATGGTTCGCACAGGCCTTGAAAAGTCCTTGAAAAGTCCTGGATTTTTTTTCTTAAATTACTGTGCGAACCATGTTTAATGCACCAATATGTTACAAGGGTTTTAACTCTTGACTGCTAGGTCTCTTTCTAATGTTTGTTAACTTATGAAAATTCTAAGGTAATCTTTTTTTTTAAGGATGCAAAGACGTCCCCAAAACCTACCAGTGCAGAGAAAAAGAAATGTAAGGAAGAAATACAGAAAATGAAAGAAGAAAAGGTAACGAAAGAAGAAAGGTTTGATATGATCTTATATTTGGGAATATTTTATTGATAATTATTTATGAATTTTTGCAGCAAAAACTTAAAGAGGAGAAGGAGAGGCAAAGACTGGAAGCAAAGGCTCAGAAGGAGAAGGAGAGACTAGAAGCAAAACAGAAGAAAGAGCAAGAACGATTAGAAAAACAAGCAGAAAAAGAGAAAAAGGAAAAAGAAAGATTAGAGAAGAAACAAAAAGAAGAAAAGGAAAAACAAGAAAAGAAAGAGAAAAAGGAAGAAGAACGAAGGAAGAAAGAGGAAGAAATAAAGTAAGTATTTCGGTTGTTTATTTTATGGATGAAATTTTAAAAGAATTTTTCTCAATTTATAGCATGTTATCAATTTTCTTTAGTGCAAAATTAGAAGAAAAAAGAAAAAAAGAAGAAGAAAAGAAGCAACAAGAAGAGGAATTGGTAATTCTAATATTAAAATTATAGCTTGCAATTTTACATCTCGAAGAAATTCCTAATTTTTTCTTCCAAATTTGACTGACTCCTGATAATATTTTCTTTCACTATCAGAAAAGGAAGAAAAAGCAAGCAAGTCTCTCATTCAAAAACTTTTTTACAAAAACTACATCTGCCCCACCCAAGGTAAGAAAAACAAATATATTTCTTAAAGAAGTGCATTTAGAAGTGCAAATAAATAAGCTGTTCTAAGTGGAATGCCTTATTCTTGCTTCTGCAGACACTACCCAAAGCAGTTTTAAAGTTTGAACCATTTGAAATCAAACCATACATGTCCCTGGCTCCTCTTCTCAGGACAAAACTAAGTAAAGAATCTGAGCAGAAACTTGATAGATTGATGCAAGAACAGGTATAGTACTTGGTCTAAGAATGCATCCTCACTGCTTCAACTTCATCTTGTTAGGACTGTACTTACATGTCCAGGGGTTAAAATAATTATCCACCCAGAATAGACCTTTCGCCAAAATGGGGGAAAAGAGCACCTTCACTTTAGCAACCCTACAAAGATTCATTATGTCAGGTGTTATATCAGCCGAGAAAACTTAAATTGAAAATTGACAAACTTACAGATGTTTGTATGTCTGGTATACCACCAGACATACAAACGTCTGTTAATTATTTGTCAATTTTCAACTTTTTTTCGGCCAATATAACACCTGACATAATGAATTTTTGTAGGGTTACTAAAGTGAAGGTGCTCTTTTCAGTGCTGGTATTGGTTTTTCACTCAGTTTAATTTTAAGTCAACCGAATTTGCAACAGCCATTTTGGCAAGGGGTCTATTTGAAATCATTGCTTTGCCAGTTGTGTTGACCATTTTGAGCCACAAACTACTAAGGTATGCTGAGCTAAAAGTAATTTGGTAGTCATCATGACCGGCAACTGATCAGCCATTATTTTAAGCCCTGCATGTCACTCTAGCATACTGCAGGACAGTATACAGGTCTCTTCAAAATCCAGTCATTAACACCTTGATGTTTAATCATGATACCCAATACAGTACACTGCACCTCACCCCACTCCACTGTAGCACTGTTGTAGTTTCGATTGCATTGCAGTTTTCATAGTACAGCAACAAAGATTGGGTTAAAATTTATTTTATTCATAGTTTGCTAGTTTAAAGAACTTTAATCAAGATTTACAATTACATTGCTGAGTAGGCAGCCAAATTAGCAAGAGTAGACAGCGGAATCTGCCGGTTGCCAGATTCTATTGACAACCCTGCACCATGCCACTAACATTTTATCTTGCCATATAAATTACAGTGTGTAGAGTGTCTTATGGTATCTCCAGCACTATAAGCTTCCTTTGCTCCATTTGTTACACATACTGTCAGATCGGCCAATTTATTTTATTTCCTGTGTTTTTAGGAGGAAGATACCTTATGCATGAAGGAACTTCAAAAACGAAAGCCTCTACCCCCCTACAGAAAAGAGCGAAGAAGAACAATAGCAGCTAAATCAAACAATCGAAAAGAGTCCACAGAAAAAGACGAAACGAAAGACCAAACTGATGCGATTGAAATATCGGACGAAGAGACTAGTGATTCTGAATCAGTTGTAGAAATTCAGCATGAAGAGAAGAAACGAATGAAGGTCATTTTCTTGAAATTTCACGAGAATAATAGACCTCCGTATTATGGAACACAACGCAAGAAAAGCAAGAAAATCTCTCCAAAGGATCCTTTGAAAAAAGATGAGGTACCAGTTAAAATAGCCTTAAATAAATAAATAAAACCGTTCTTGTTTTGAGGGCACTCGTTCCATGATAGGATTGGATTTATAAGTCAAATTTTTGTTGGAGGAAGAAAAACAAGAAAACCTGGAGATGAAGACTCCAAACGCAGGAGAGAACCAACAAACTAGTCTATACTCCAGTTATTGAACCTGGGTCACATTGCTGAAAATTGAGCACTCTCACCTCTACTGCACCTTTGCTTGCCTTTTGAAAACAGTGCATTTTTCGCCCACCAAATGAACAATTGATTTGAATTTCATTTCTGAGGTTGCTAATGCTAAAGCGGTTTCGCTAAAGCAATGATATAATGATTGTTTCAGGGATTGTTGAACTACGAGATTGACAGCGACGATGAATGGGAAGAAGAGGAGCCAGGAGAGAGTTTATCTGATGATAGTGATGTAAGTTGCCCTTCGTGAATTTGATATACTATACATGTAGTTGCCCAAAGCAAGGTTACCATTGGAATAATATGATACCCATGCAATGCAAGGTGGCCCACCTCAATTAAAAATTGTTACTGCTATTTTTATAAATGTGCGAACTCATTGGCTGCAAGCTGCATGCTGAAAAGTTGTTTTTAGCTTCAGTGAATTCACCGCTTTCAGCACTAGCTTGGATTGTGTTACGGTCACCAAAAAGTTCGGACAT